AGGGGTGGGTGTGAGGGCACTGAGGGCAGTGAGGTGCAGTGGGGGTTGGGGGTCGTGGTGGGAATGTGCAGGTCGGGGGGAGGGGGCCGAGTGGTGTGTTTGGGGTCAGATAGGGGTTTTTCGGTCCATTAGGGGTGTTTAGGGGGGGTGTCAATGGGGGGTGAATTTTTTTTTTTTTCTTCTGGTTTTAGTGTTCGGGCACATAGGCACCCGTGTCCGAGGCCCAAAGCGCGAATTCTGTTTTTCGGAATTCAACGCCAAGCCCCCGTTTTTGCGTTAAACGGGATTTAACCGGGCTCAGGGGCTCGTTAAACGGATGAACGGGCGTTGAATTTCGCCAGTTCTCCGTTCAAAAGATACACAGTTAAGAAACAACTCTCGACTGTAATACCCTTTCGATTGAGGTCCCCTGTACCTCCATTGTCTCAGTGACATCACAACCGTCACCCAGGAAACCATAATAATCTATCATTACCTAGGTGGACCCTTCATTGATCGCGACTATGATCGAGTTTCACGAACATTTGGTGGATGCTCAACGAGGTAATGCTGTGACTTTGTAGGTCCATTTGTCCTCACCACCTCGTTCACCTTGGGTGGTTCGTGGTGTTCTAACACACCATCTTTCAAGTTTGTCACAATCCAGGACTCAATCTGCAGAAGATGTCAGATTATCATGTTATTAGGTCGATTTTGTTGAGTAGGAGGTATATTTTTATAGTATATTTAATACAGCAATAAACATGGTTTCTCCTCACACCCACCATTTTCCTACCCCAGCTTGAGTAGCATCGATGGTCATTATAGAACAATCTAGTAGTGGTGCACGCTCTGCCTTATTCGCAAGTGAACATATAACTTTGGTAGTAACTGATTAAACATTTATGACTTCCTTACATACATCAGGGACAGTGTCATCGACTATTTTGGGAATGTTTGTCATGGTTGCCCTTCGAGAGGTCTCTGTATCCATGGTTTTGAGTAGTCTTGTTTTCAAGGTTAAACATTTAGATTACGTTAAAAAAAAATTCATGCAAACGAGTTTATCACTTTGAATGTTAAGAACGTCATAGTGGATCAACCTCATTCTGGGATAGTTCAACATAAATATTTTTTTTACGGATTTATTCTTAAATTCAGACAACCATACTCTATAGGCGATCAACCCTCCTCATTGATATAGACAGTACTTTTATCAATACATCCTTATAATCTAATAATTGTATTTTTTGAAGGTTTGATGTTTTTCATGGGCTTAACCTTAATCTCTCTTGTCCTTCGGGTAGATGAGTAGTACCATCATTTGCAGTGGAACGATCTGAGTCGGCAACTACACCTATAACTGACGTTGTATGCAAGTATTATTTATGTCCTGAGTACCAAAAGACCGATAACCCTATCGTTGCTCACAGACGTTACAAAGATGCTCTCGAAGTTCCTCGACTGCATAGTCGTAAGCCAGATGTGAAGTCGCTTGCTAATGTTGATTCTACCTTCACCTCAGGGGATTATTACGCATTGGATTTTGAGGATTCATTGCTTTTATTACACATTGGTAGAAGTTTTGTATTACCTTTATTTTACGTCACATTACAGACACATTAGAATTTTATACCACAAAGGTATTTGTCGTGGGTCAAAAACCTAACCTTGACAAAATGTTTGATTTTTTTAAGAGAAAAAGGAAAATACAAACTCCCTTCTCTACGTTTGTATTTGATTTGTTAATAAAATTTTGAACAGTTTCACTCGATCTAAATTCAATGACCGTTGGCTATTCAAATGATCAGCGTAAGCTCAACCTGATGGTGTTAGTCAACATGAAACTCTTAAGCCTACGCCAACTAACTTGATATGGTATATCGCTATATAAATTATTTTGCCCACTTTTGTTTGGTGCTAACATTAAGATTGTTTTTACCATTGTTGATTTGCTTAGTGCTAACATTAAGATTGTTTTTACCATTGTTGATATTGCGTCCCATAACAAATTTATTTCTGCAGATTGTGTAAAAGTTGCATGTATAGTTACTAATGGGTATCATTCTCTCATTCACTAACCATTATTATTTTGGATGGATGTGTTTCAAATATAGCCATGCACATCCATAATCAGATGAAGATCATGAGTTATATTATCATGAAGGTTCCTTACAAGCTTGTTATAATCTTTTTTTTTTAAGTTAATATAAATCATTAAAGGTTGATAAGTAAGTCAATCACATTGAAATCGCTACGATGTCTGCATGTCAGAGATTCGAATATTATGCAATATTTTTACCAAACTGTGTACTTTTAATTTTTCAATATTGCAATTGTTAATCTTGTATTATGCAATATATTATATCACCTCAACGGATATTGAGTGTAATTGTGGAAGCTCTAACCCCTTGAACCATGGGTTTTCATCGGGTGGTTGGTATCTTATATGATCCAATTATTCAAATCTATGATGGTACCCTTACCATCACAACTGTCCTACAAGTTATTTAATCGTTTAATTTAGAAACTTCAATGAAAACTCAATAATGTGATGATATGTAAATTTACCTAGTAAAGTTTTTCATCATTTTGTTTCATCAAAATTTCAAATAAATCAATGATGGTATGTTGTACTTGTATATGAACTATCCATCTTTGCGTTGTATTACGGTCAAGAATCAATAACCCCTCTAAGGTGACATAGTTTTTAATCGGTTATGTGAAGCATATATCTTTACGAAAATTGATCTTCGAGATGATTACCACCAGGGTAACCAGCGATTCGGGATGGGCCGAACGCCCGAACCCGAACGCCCAAACGTATGGGACCCTTTGAAGATGCGTTCGGCCGTTCGGGCCGAATGCGGTCCCCAAAAAAAAAAAAAAAAAAAAAAAAAAAGTCATCAAAAAAATCTGAAAAAAAGATATGTTATGGAGAAGCATAAATTAAACAAGATTTGCCTGAGCATTAGGTCCGAATTCCTTACCAAATTTGAAATAAAAATAAAATACACAGAACAAATACTAATGATAAAAATAAATAATAATAAAAAGAGAATTAAATTTAGTGAGTGCGCGAGCATGTTTTCGACACCGCCATCTTTGGCGATTTTTAATTTTTTTTTGGCATAGCTAAATGCCCTGAAAATTCACACATGTGTCTCACATAATACAAAACCCACTTAAAAATTTTCAAAAAATAATAAAATTGTTTAGACCTCGAACTAAAGTGATAACAAAAAGTAAAAAGTGAAAAAAAACGTGGGCGAGCACGTTTTGACACCGCCATCTTTGGCGATTTTTAATTCTTATTTGGCTTCGAGAAATGACTTGAAAATTTATAGGAATGTACCTCACGTCATAGAGAAGTCGTAAAAAAAAATTCAGAAAACAAAAAGTATTTTTAGGACCCTAAATAATTTTTGGCGGGGGTGACGACGTCGGGTTCGGGACCCGTACAGGACCCCGAACGCCCGAACGTACGGAGGTCCACCTGGGGGCCTCCGTACGTACGGGCTGGTAACCCTGTATACGTATATATATATATATTAATATATATAAACTCCGACGAAACAGTTTGTCACAGCCCCTCGTTTGTTGTCCTCTTCTCCCTCTCTGCCTACGGTTTACCGGGCAGTTCTTTTTGACGATATATATTGAATAATCAATCACCCGAACAGCCTCCTTTTTTTTTTTTTTTTTTTTTTTTTTACCTGATGGTAGGCTTCAACCTGAGTTTTGACTCATCCAGCTCCCCAAAACGATTATTATATATTAGGGGTAACTAGGGCGCAGTCACGAAAGCAGTTTGTAAATGCATTTCGAACTGCCGTTTTGGAGTCCAGTCCGGTCCCAAGTTTCCCCAAGTTTCAACTGTAGTCGAAACTCTCTACATGCACAACAGTCGCAAGGCCGAGTTTGCAACTGCAGTCCAGTCCGGCACGTGGCCTCTTTTTTTTTTTTTTTTTTTTTNAAAAAAAAAAAAAAAAATCATCAAAAAAATCTGAAAAAAAAATATATGTTATGGAGAAAAATAAATTCAACAAGATTTGCCCGAGCATTACATCCGAATTCCTTACCAAATTTGAAATAAAAA